CTGCTGATCTAGCAGTAGCCTGCAGTGCTGCATTTAACCACTGCGCCACCTCGGCCCCAAACACGTATCAATAACCCATTGCTAAAAATCAGTAGACAATGACCTTAAAATGTTTCTAATGATTAACCTTCCTCTTTTCTCAGCCACTGTGACTTGCAACACATTCAGTTTTTGAATTATGCCAACTACCACTATGATGTCCTGCTCTAGCCTACAACTCACTAAATCACAAATCAAACTACCGTATGTGGAAGTCACACAACACTAAATACCACGTATATGCACAGATAGAGAATAAGAACTAGCCCAGTTTCAGATACTGTGCAAATGCAATGCTAAATTTGTAGCTTCCTTGGCTGACCCTGTTATCTGTTCCCAGTCAGGGTCTTCATCGGTTCCAATATGATGGAGAAACCCATAAGGAAGACATGCACCCAATTTGACCTCGGTTCTGAATTCAAATCCAAACTTACGGAGAGTGGATGAAAGATATCCATTAAAGTTTCAACTCTAAAAACGAAGATAGTATAGTCCGCCTAGACTTTTTCCAGCAAGTGAAGTAGCTAAATCATTAGTCTGCTTATCTGCTGCTTTATATGGACTAGAAGACTGCCAAGGTCCCTTCTAACTCTGTTAGTCTGTTATTCTTTATTCAATTGATCTGCTCTTCTGTTATTCTGCTTGATAGGTTCTAAAAAAACAATTCTTGCTTAGAGATCATAAATAATCTCTACTTGTGCTGAAAGCAGCTGAAGTTATATCTTTGTTTGGCTTAGAATAAGGAGTTCTGTGATTTGAACTCTGGCTTGTATCCTTGAGAAACTATAAGGGGATAACAGTGTAGCTTGGGGAAGCTAATGTTGGTCTAAAAGTAACCTCTGCTTTCCATGGGCTTTCTTTATTCAGTGAGTATACCAAATACTCTAAGTATATATACTTTATTTTAATTCCAAAGCAAATATGGTAGCTGTTTCCTTCCCTTCAAAGTAACCATTGACCTTTTGGGCTAAGGGCAGTTAGTTCTGCACTGTGATGAAAAGTTCAAATGTTGTTTGCCCTGCTGGGACTCTCCTCTAGATATGCTTTCTTTATTAACCCCATAAAGGAGAATATTTGTAGCTCAGGGTTGAAATGAGGGGGGAAATAATTTGAACCAAACTTTAAGTTATTCAAAATGTACTGCTCTCTAAATGACACGGTTTAACCACTGCCCTAAGTCCTTTGGTGTTGGATGGCTGTTATAATTTTGAATGGATGATGATGATGATGATGATGATGATGATGATGATGATACATTATTTTAGGGAAAGGGCTGTACAAAGCATGTCTATATGTGGAGCCCTTGGTGCCGTTTGAGCTTGTTTGCTTGTTTGTAGCTGCTTCAATACCCAATTAGGTAACATCATCTGTGTGAGTGAGTGTGGGTTTACACCCTATTTATATAGAGTAGCTTGCCCTGCCTGTTGATGGGAGTGGTAGTTGTATTGTCTTTGGTAGTTCCTTAACTCGGGAACTGTTTTATGTTTGTTTGTCTGGTGTTAATCCCTGCTTATCTGCTTATCTGGGTGCTGTTGCTGGAGAGGTTCAGTGTCATCAACATTATTGAAACATTTACACCAGTTTGGACCGGTTCGGCTGAATGGGTAGTAGTTTGGCAGCCTGAGTCACTGGAACGGCAGCGACCCAGGCTTACAATGCCCCCAAATCAGTTCTCCAGGCGGCGCATATATGTGCTGTCATCTTGTTTTTTGCTTCTGAGCATGCA